GATTTAAAATCAAATTCTTTTTAAAAATACTTGTACTTTTACTCGTTACTTTTTAAAAGTAACGTTGCCATATATGGTAACCAGTGATCGCCTTTCGATGTTCACAATATTTTTTATTTTTTTACTTCTTTTAATTATTATAACAATTTTAAAAAGCAAACAAATGATATTAAATTAGTAATATACTAGATTTAAAACAAATTTTCCTTTAATATTGAATATCCAACGCTCCGTCTATCCAACTATGAATCGTTCATGTTAGTAAAATTCTATAAATTGATCATATTTATTAGGGAAAATTATTATCAAAATATTTTTGAAAATGAATTATGAAAATAAGTATTAAAAAATATTTGCTAAGCAAATTTTTTTTAATTTTATGTTCTTTTTTGTCTTTCTCATTTTTTCCAACAAAACAATAAAATCAACAGTCCTGCAGAATGAATGCAGACGACGCCGAGACTTGTCTGGAATATAAAATTGTTCCGTAAATTAAATTCTTCTCTTGGTTTAATTAAACATGTTTCTTGAAGCATTGTGCAGATTTTTTTTATACATTTTGGCATTTTTCCTCTTATATATTATTTCTATTACTTCTTTTCCTCTTATATATTATTTATTTATTTGCTAATGCGTAAATTGAAATTGAATGAGCTTATGATAACGTAGACTAAAAAGGTAAATTTGGAAAATTTGAATTCTACGATTATAATGAAGGCCCATTCCATTATATTTCCTTTAAACCGGTTCCTTTACTTTTCTAAATTTCAGTTGTTTGTTACAGAAAAATGCATCCAAAGAAATAGCAGAATAATTAGTCGCCATGAAAATATTGCTTATTGTCTATTTGAAAATTCCTCTAAACTTGTATTTTTTGATGAAGTAAAAAAATATGTTTTTTAGACAAAATCTATTTTATTCATCAATTATTATTTCAGCTATTAAAATCAATTCTTCTCAAGATTAAAACTCACGGCAATTTTAATATAGTTTTTTATTCGTTTCTCGCATGCAAAACATTTTGAGGAAATACATATATTTATACAGTTGTGCTATTAATGACATAAAAAGTTGAACTTCTGTTATCAATTAGCAGGTTTTATTGAAACAGCGGTAAATAAAATGGAGTGGATTAGACAAGCACTAATCTGAAATGTGAAGGTCGCATTACGAAATAATTCTAACGTCATGTCACTTGTCACTTTGATTTACCTGTCTCTGCTTTGTCTACGGATTAATTTTACTGGAACGCGTAACAGTACTTTTTTTGTTTTGTTTTTGAAAGGCTTAATTGATTTTTCTATTTTATTACCGAATGGTAAGTAATTATCATCTGGTGAAAATTGTTAATTCCGGTTTAACTGGGCCACCTGTCGAGTAACTTGTATATGTGAGGTTTTATCTTAATTCTAGAGCCTAAAATGGTCATTAGCATTAATGTAAACGAAATTTGTTTCTAAGGTCAATGGCTACGGTCACTTGTTTATAGAGAATATTCAAGTAGTGCCTTTTTTTTTTTTTTAAATAATTCTCGAAAAATAGTTTTCTTTTAAAATAAATTTTTATTGATTTTTAGATGTTTTTAATGAGTTTTCTAATTTGTTTTAAATTAGTTTCTTCGGTTATTTTTATAGATTTTTAAGAGTTTATTTTATTAAGATCTTTTAAAATAGCTTTTTTTTAAATTAAAGTCTAACGACTAGCTCGACGAGAACATAAAAATTTTAATATTATAACAAACACACTACTCGTACTTTCCAACATTTGAGGTTTGAACGAAATCTGTTTTTCAGTGGTAGTGAAAATTACAAACATTTTGAAAATTAATTGATTGATCAACATGAATATTTAAAATCTGACATTCTATATATCAGTTTAAATAATTTATATGTTCTGGTAACCAAAGTGTTTATTTTTATTTAAGCATTAATACAATGCATCAGTTATCATTAGAAAGCATGTTTTCTGAATTTACGAAAGTTCCGTAGTTTTTTTGAGGGTATGCCTACACGCAGGCCCGTAGCCAGGGGGGGACTGTCGGGACAAATTTTAACTTCATTAATTCAAACTTTTTAGTCTTTCTTGGAGCCTCTCAGTAAAAAGAAAAACAAAAACTGTCGAATCAAATCTTTTCCCAGTACACCACCTTCGCTAGTGCATCATCTTCACTTGACCTTGTGACTCATCTTTCCTTCGGTTAGACTACTCCCCCGAAATCAATTGTTTTTCAGCATATTAATTTATGCAATTTCCGAATCTACGCAGATTTCATTGACATAGAAAACCTCATGGAAGAAATGGAAGTATGGGCATCAAAGTGGAACCTGCTTGAACCCCTTAGTAGACCAGATACGGCACTTTCAGCAATGGAAGAATGTGACAGTATCTTTTTCCCAAACATTTATTGCTTGTTATCAATATTGGCTACGTTGCCAATCACCACAGCAACTGCAGAAAGAACTTTTTCTACTCTTAAACGCGTAAAAACAGCAACAAGAAATGCTACTAAAGAAGAAAGGCTAACAGGGCCAACTTTATTAAGCATATTTCGGGATATTCCGGTTTGTCCTGAAAAAGTAATCGAAAAATTTTTTTCAAATCCTCGTCGCATGTCTTTGTAAACTTCGTTTCAAATTGATTAAAATTATTATGTAATATTAATTGAAAAATAATTATTATGTAATACTTTTTAATTACTAGTTTAACTTTTGCAAACAGAATAAACAATATTTGTTACAATGTTTTCTCCCTACTTCGCATGTCTATAATTGTCCTTGCTTCTTACCATATCCCCCCTCGAAAAAATATCCTGGCTACGGCCTTGCCTACACGGTAGACATACCGTGTTTTATATATGTTTTTTTTATATATATAAACAAATAATTAAGTTTTATATAGAAACAATTTCATTCACAAATGAAAATTTTTATAACTAGTTTAATTCTTATAATATTTTATGTTTAACGATATTCACAATAATTCTTATCAGGAAAAAAGAAGCTGGTGGATCTAGCCATTTTTAAGATAATTAATTGACGATGCATTGTAAACTAAAAATTGCCAGTTTCTGAACTATAAAATAGGAAAAATATTGGGGGGGGGGTGATATAGACCTTCCTTTCCTTCCAACAATTCTTCCTTTTATCAATTCTAGTCAACAATTCTTCCTTTTATCTAATTCCAATTAATTTTTTTCGTTTTATCAATTCTATAGTATTACTGCAACAGCGGCAAGTATAGGTGCTGCTGGCATCCCTCAAGCAGGACTGGTTACCATGGTTATGGTACTTAATGTTGTTGGATTACCCGCTGAAGATGTCACTTTGATTCTAGTCGTAGATTGGATTTTGTAAGTATAAATGTGTATTTATGAGTACCTGTCAAAATTGACCAACCTTATTGTATGCTGACCATCTGTTCACGAGTAGATCTTTTTTCTTTTATCATGAAACAAATTTATTTTAATTAATGAGAAGGATGAAAACCTTGAACTTGAAAATTTTTCTACTGCTCATGTTGACCACTTAAATAAATCAAACTTGTGTAGTTGTCTTATTGAATGGTTTTCTGATCCTTTAAAAAAAAAAAAAAAATTTATAACCGTCGTTGAACAGCCGGCTCAATTTTGGGTTTATGACTACTAATGTTCAACTCCGTAGCCTTGTAATTTTGAACCCAATCCCAAAGACAATGGAACTCCAGGATCTTTCAGAAATTTACCTTCGTGGAGGACTTTTTGATGGTACTAACCCGCATTTGCGTGACATGGAGTGGAAAACCACGAAGTTAGCCTGAAAGCAAGGGGACTCTAACCTATAATGCGTCAACCATTGAGTACAATTTACGTCAGTACTGTGGTCGGTGCGGAATTCGTATCGACCAGCCATCGCTGGGATTTGAACCGTATTAACGTAAGACGAACGTTCTAAGAAGAATAAAAAAAATAATTTCTTAAAGTTTCAATGTTTTAGAATTTCATGGAAATTGGTGGAATAGTGGCCTCGACTCAGTATAAAAAATGAAAAACGAGGTAGCCAATTTACTTTTAAGTTTAAATATAATTTACAGCTAATAGAGTATTTGATTTTTAAATTTCACTTCATTTTATAAATTATGACACTTGCAATTGTGTAGCTAACTATTATTACTTAAGTTGTTAAAATGTCGAGTTAGTTAACTAAAGTTGCAGAGTAAGTTTCTCATTTAAACAAAAAAAATAAGCGAAACCACCAGTGTTTTATTTTTGATAGGACGTGGTAACTACTGTTCTAAAATCTAAACCAAAAACATTTGTGATTGTACCATATTGCGGAAATTATTAAGCGGTTATTGCCAAGCGTTATATTTATGGGAGTGTTTCTTTTTTTTATAACATAAATTATGGCAGGACAATTGTTTCGGTATTATGATTTTTCTTGTAAGATCCAAAATTTTCAAACACCATAATTAGATCAATATATAGAACCAAGATTAGACGGAAATTTTCGAATGGCTAATGGTAAAAAATAGCTACTTGTTTAATATTATATAATTTTTTTCAAGGCCGCTTGTCGTAACAATTTAATGCAAAAAGCTAGAATAAGACGGGTAAGATCTTACCTTTAAAGTCCTATTCATTTTTATCTTCTTGTTGTGCAAAACAGCAATAACAAATGCAAAAGTTTAACAAAATAAATTTCGCTATGATTTCTAATTGCATATGTTCTTCTGTACTGATGTTTTTTTATTGATATTTTATGAAAAATATATGTCATACATACCTGACATACATAACTTATAAAATAGGTATATTTGTTTTTTTTTTAATTAATCAGTTTAATAAATTAAATCAATCATTTCATTGATCATTGTAATTCAGGGGCTAGAGCGTTCACCTTCCAACTCGAATTCCGCACCCGGCTTGCACTGACCACAGTGCTGGCTTAAAATATCCTCAGTGGTAGATGGATCATGGATTAAAGTCCCCTTGCCGTCAAACTAACCGTGGTTTTCCTCTCCATTATACGCAAATGGGGGTTAGTTTCATCAAAAAATCCTCCACGAAGGCTAAATTTCTCCCAATACGTGGTCCAGGAGTTCCCTTGTCTTCTGGATTGGTGTAAAAATTACGAGGCTAAGGAGATAAACATTAATCGTCATAAACCCAAAAAATTGGGTCGGCTGATCAAAGACTGTTATTTACCTCTTCCACAATTATTATTGTGTCAAACTTTATTGTAGAATTCACTTTTTAGTTGATATCGAGTAACAATTTACTCTATTTTAAAATAAAAACCACAAAAACCTCCCACGGTTAGCCTGACGGCAAAGGGACTCTAACCTATGATCCGTCTGCCACTGAAGAAATTTTGATGAATGACCACCGATGGATCAGTTTTCGTTGCCTCCGTCAATAATTAGATAACATATTAATATATTATGGGGTACACTAATGTCTTGCTACATCAAAAATAATTCATTCAAAGGATGAAACAAACACAAAACTGAGAGATTTTTAAAATCATTTTTATTGGATGATAAATTGTTATGAAATATTAATGTTATGTCCTTTACTTTTCAGGGATAGATTTCGTACCACAATCAACGTTCTTGGTGATGCCTATGGAGCTGGCATCGTGGCTCACCATAGCAAAGATGATTTAAACGAACTGTCTAACATGGATGAACAAAGTGTAGAAATGACCACCCTTTGAGTAGGAAAGTAACCATGAACATATAATTCCTGAGGAAGATGAAAACACGTCGCATTTCATGCACAATAAAAGGAAAACACGTTTAATGTTTTGTAAATTGTTACAGTGCATAAAGTATTAAGTTAGTTTATGAACGTTAAGTTGAGGTGAAGGTGAAAAAAGGAACTGTTGGTGCTAAAGAAGTTTCGTAAATATTGCTTCTGTGTCTCTTACAGCAATTTTACAAAAATTGCCATTTTTCAGTAGCAGTTTTCCAAAAACTTCTGTGTTTAGTAGCAGTTTTCCAACTTCTGTGTTTAGTAGTAGTTTTCCAAAAACTACCATGTTTCAGAGGCAGTTTTCCTAAAACTACTTCCGTCTTTCAGAAGCAGTTTTCCTGAAACTACTTCCATGTTTCAGAAGCAGTTTTTTCTAAAACTACTTCCTTGTTTCAGAAGCAGTTTTTCCTAAAACTACTTCCATGTTTCAGAAGCAGTTTTTCTAAAACTACTTCCATGTTTCAGAAGCAGTTTTATTAAAATTACTTGTATGTTTCAGAAGCAGTTTTCTTAAATCTACTTCCTTGTTTCAGAAGCAGTTCTTCTAAAACTACTTCCTTGTTTCAGAAGCAGTTTTTCTAAAACTACTTCCTTGTTTCAGTAGCAGTTTTTCCTAAACTACCATGTTTCAGAAGCAGTTTCCTAAACACTACTTCGATGTTTCAGAAGCAATTTTATAAAAAAAAACTGTGTCCCAGAAGCAGTTTTTCATAGACTACTTCAAACTTATAACTCCAAAAACTACATCTGTGTTTCAGTAGCAGTTTTCCATAAAGTACTTCTGTTATTTATAAACAATTTTTCCACTACTACATCTGTGTTTCAGCAGGGGTTTTCTCTAACTTACTGCTGTGTTACAGCAGCAGCTTTCAAAAAATTATCTGCTGCTGCGTTTTTTAATTAATTATTTATTGGAACTTCTGATTTTGTTCCTAAACTAAATCAATTTCAGGGATGCCAGATGCAACAGATAAGCAAAAGAAAAGGCTAAAATTATTTTTTTTTTATTCTGGAAACAAAGAGTTACCATGCATCGGCGCCCCAGATCTTCACTTAGAGCTGTGTTAGTTGGAGTTCGGTGAACACTCATTTAACAATTTTGTTCTGTTTTAACTATGTAAATAATTATTTTGCACCCATTTGTATTTGTTTATATATAAAAAAATAAAATTGTATATTTCACATCTTTTTATTCCTCATTACTTGAATTTAATCACGATTCTTATTTACTTTTCAATTCCTCATAGGATGGAGTTGTTGGGGGTATTCAATTGAAGCGTATTCATTAATTGATTTTGTTTTACGTGTGCTGACTAAAATGTTTAGCCGTACAATTTGGCAAGCTTTAATATATGGGTTAATCCTTATTAGCCCTACAGGAAACTTGTTTCATGAAAGCGTTCGTGTAAAATCAGTATTAGGGTAATAAAAAAAAGCGGCCGTTTAAAGAATGTGGGCGTGGCTAATTTGCCAAACTTATTTTACCTTTAATCAATCACAAATTCAATTAATTATTTTATAACAGTTGTTGAACAGACGACCTAATTTTTGGGGTTTACGACTATTAATGTTCAACTTCGCAGCCTTGTAATTTTGAACCCAATACAGAAAATAAGCGAACTCCTGGATCAAGTATTGAGAGAAATTTGCCTTCGTGGAGGATTTTTTGATGGAACTAACCCCGCATTTACGTTACATGGAGAGGAAAACAAAGAAAACCTCCCACGGTTAGGGGACTCTAACCCATAATCTGTCTACCACTGAGAATATTTTACGTTAGCACTGTAGACGGTGCGAGCCGGGTGCGGAATTCATATTGACCAGCCATCGCTGGGATTCGAACCCGGTTCTCAGTGGAAGGCGAAAGCTCTAAAAAAAATTAGAAAAATCTTCTTAAAGTTTTAATGTTCCAGAATTTCATAAAAATTCGTGAGCTGGATCGTGAGAAATTCGTGAGCTGGGACGGAGGCCACGACGCCCTATAAAAAAATGAGGCGGAACAGCTGGATCAAGTATTGAAAAAAATTTGCCTTCGTGGAGGACTTTTTGATGGAAATTTTCTGCTGTTAAATCACGAAACCCTCCCACGGTTAGTTTGACGGTAAGGGGACTCTATCCCATGATCCGTCTACCACTGAGGATATTTTACATCAGTACTGAAACCCAGTATTTATGAATTATAAGTAAATATTTACACTAATTTCATGTTGTCACGACCTCACGTTATAATGTCCGTAAGCAGGGGTCGTAGATTCTCCTGTATATTTTACGATATCTTTCTCACTACGGAAATTAGAAACACTTCTGCTACTGAAATGTCCGGAACTCATACTTATCGTGGTTATTGATATTTTAAGAAATATATATGTTATAAATACCTGGCATACATAACTAATAAAATAGGTATATTTGTTTATTTAATTCATCAGTTCAATAGAATTATATTTGTGTAACGATAAATAATTCTATCAGAGCCGCGATGGCTCAGGTGATGGAGCGTTCGCCTTCCAATGAGGCGAACCGGGTTCGAATCACAGTCGATGCGAATTCCGCATCCGGCTTGCACCGACCTCAGTGCTGACGCGAAATATACTCAGTGGTAGGCGGTTCATGGGTTAAAGTTCCCTTGCCGTCAGGCTAACCGTGGGTGGTTCTCGTGGTCTTCCTCTCCATGTAACGCAAATGTGGGGTAGCTCCATCAAAAAGTTCTCCACGAATGCAAATTTTTCCCAATACTCGATCCAGGAGTTCCCTTGTCTTCTGGATTGGGTTAAAAATTACATTCTACGGAGTTGAACATAAGTAGTCGTAAACCCATAAAATTGGGTCGGCTGCTCAACGACGGTTATAAAATAATGGCTTACAATAGAACGTTCGCCTTCCCACTCGAATTCATCACCGACTTGCATCGACCAAAGTGCTGATGTAAAATATCCTTAGTGGTAAAGGATCATGGGTTATAGTTATAAAATTTTATGGATTATAGTCACAGTTATAAAATTCGCGTTTTTTTTCAAAGATAATTTTATGCAAAAAAAAAAAGTATTTCGAGTAATTATTTATTATTATTTTTTATTAATGGTCGAAAAAATTTTGAATTGTAAAGTATGAAATTTTTTAAATCATTACATAGAATTTAATATCGCATTGCAAAATATAAAACTTGAACTTAATTTGGTTCCTCCTGAGAAATCGAATTTAATTTTTGAATATAATTATGCAATTATTATGCATTTTAATTTATGAATATCATTAAATAATTATTATGAATTTTAATTTATGAATATCATTATATAATTATTATTAATTTTAATTTATGAACATGAATCGAATTTTAATTATTGATATGACATTTTTTTTTTTTTAAATTAATTTTCTCAGGAAGTATTCGACCGATTTTGTGGAAATTCGGCATTTTTCGGTATCAAATTACATTTTTTAAAATAATGTAAAAATTTGTATGCCTTACAATTTAATAAATTTTCTACTATTATTAAATTAAATTATAAAAAGTAATGAATAATTATTTAATAATATTTTTTGCATGGAATAATTATCTTTAACAACAGTTTTCAAATGATTTACTACAAATTTTGACAATAGATATAGTTTTCGTTGCACTTAGAGTTTTTTTAATTAAGCTGGTGGCGTAACTACCACTAAGTTTATTAAATACCGATTTTACTAGTATAAAAAACATATTATCTTAAATATATCTAGAGGTAACTTTGATGGAAGAATGTTGACATTGTCGAAAGCATATTATTCCCACATTGGTGACACCCGGACGTTGATATGAACTCGTTAACATCGATGAATGGGAACTACACTGATCGGTTGATTTACTCACAAAATAGCTCTCAAAAACCCGATGAAATAAATACAATTCTCCCGGCCAATTAAAGAAAAATAATAATAAGCGAAAATAATAAATAAATTAACAGCAATAAACAACTAGTGGTATGTAGTCGTTCAATGAATTCTATCACAAATAAAATTCTGATGCGAAGTAATGTGGTTTAACTGCCTCTAAGATAATTAAGTACTAACTATCTAGTATATATAACATGCTAACTTGTTTTAACATAAAATATTAAGGAAAATAACAGACGCCCCCTGGTATATCAACATGAAAGATTTATTGAAGTGATTGAAGACAGTACAAAATACAGCTCGGAGACTGCGTTTTTCTTGTCGGACGGGGTACTTTCTAAAACAATTTATGTAAATAATGTATATATATTTTATTTTTTCTCTCATCATTATTAACTATTATCCTTGGATATTTTTTTTTCTTCTCATCGTTTATTTAATTCTATTTAGTCAGGACTAGGACTGCGCTATAATATATCGATTTAGCGCCGATATATCGATTTAACGCCTGTATCGGCAGGCCGATACAACGACTTTCGTTCCAGGCGATGCATCAGAAATCTGATTTAAGCCGTCGAATAAAGAAGACGAACGATATAGCGATACAAGACACGCAAGGATCTCTTACGTTCCGATGCCAACTCGCGCTGGGGAAGACGATGTTCGTATCGTTATATTGAAACGGCCTTGATTGATGAGCGGTAGAATCCATTTTATCGAGGAACAGAG